CGGCGCGCCCTCCCGGGGTCCCAGCGACCCGCGTCGCCGCAGGGTCGGGCGGGGCCCGGGGCGTCAGGTCAAGGGGCGTCCCGGATCCCGCGCAGGGCCGGACCCCACCCCCAGCCTCGGTTCGGCGCAAGTCTCACCCCAGCTCGCGGAAGCCCGTCGCCCGGCCCCGTCGCCCGGCCCCGCGCTTGGAGGCGCCCCCAAGACTCACGGCCGCTAACCGCCTTGCACAACTGGAAACCAGAGAAAAGCCCAACCTCCAGTTCAGCGTCTAGGGTTTTCAGAGGTGTTACAGAGGTTTCGGCTTCGCTGACGTCACTGGAGAGGTACTGGTGGCCACTGGTTGGTCTCAGATAAGAGGCCAGGCGCAGCTCATCGACAGAACAGCTCAGGCACGGGGAACCCCCCAAGTGTGAAGGGGCATCCCAGGGCAAAGGAGGCTACAGCTTTTTTTCTTTTTGGAGTCGGAGTCTCACTCTGCAGCCCAGGCTGAAGTGCAGTGGCACACTGACGGCCACCGGAACCTCTGCCTGCTCCGCTGCAGGTGATCCTTCCACCTCAGCCTTCCAAGTAGCTGGAACCACAGGCGTGTGCCACCACGCCCGGCAGAGGCTGCAGCTTCTATAATGCAGGCTGACTACTCACTGAGGCTTAAACTAATCCAGAATTTGACATATCGTGAAAGCAGACTCAGACTTGAACTTCATGTGATCTGGTTTGGGAGATGCTGAGGAGAGGAGAAACACGATGGTCCTTCAGCACCGAATGCAAATACCTGAAGCTAGACATGAATCTCAAAGTAGCAATATATTTTATTTACAAAATATACAGTTTCACAGAAACAGCTTCGCTTTATACACATAAACTTTAAAATTACACAGAACCATGTAAACGATGTTAAGTGTCTGGCCTGGCCAAAGCCGATGGGAGGGGCCTGCTTTGGGGATATCTTTCCCTCCCCTCACTTCACTAGCCACCAACCAGGAGCCCCTAGATGGGTCATGCCTAATTTGCATAAGAAGCTGATTGCAGCCGCCCAGCTCAATCTAACACAAAAACCAAGGTGTCTGCTTTCTTAGACACCACCCACAGCAATAGATCTGTTAAAAGAACAAAAATGCAATCAAGGAAACAGAAATCGAGATGAATATCAAATGAATTCCAGAGGCATCGAACCTTCTAGCCCAAATCGTCAGGTTTGGTAGTTCCACTCTAAAAATCACGCCTGTTCTTAAATGCACTTTTAAAATTGTGGAGTTTTGTTTTTTTTTGTTTTTAAAGAAGAAAAACACTTTGGAACTTTGGTTATTCTCTTGGTGAAGACACTGAACAGGCATGTCACGGGGCAGTTCTTTGGCAAATTCCTCTCCAACGTGTCCTACATGTTGGCCCTGGTCAGAGCCAGACAAGTATCTGGAGAGGTTGTTTCTAAACCAGCTTACTATTTTTCTCTACAGAAGAACTTCTCCCTTGGGGATCTTCACAATAAACTGGGTTTCAGAAACCATTTCTATTTTTGCATTAACATAAGCAACAGAATTTTTAAAAAATAAGACAGTTGGCTGGACAAGTATGAAAGATTCTAGGACAAACATGGGTTCTGATTAGCCAAATTCTGGTTCAAGCCCCTTGGTGCATCAGTGAGAAAACGTGGGAAGAGTCTGCTGGTAGCCTGGAACAAAGATGCCACATGAAGGTGAAGCCCCAACAAGGAGACTGCAGGCCCATCCCGCTGCAAATAAACATGACCAACTTGGGCATTCTTCCCTTCCTATTCCTTACAAGAAACAATGCTTATGAAAACATACCTATCCATTTACAAAACTTTTTGAGAACAAGTACTTGACTGCAGAAGAGCAATGTCAATTTCAGAGAAAGCTGAAGGCTTCTTCTCCCCCTTGCCCCAGAACCACCAGTGTTTCGAGGTACACTGCCCTCGAGCAGAGTTCTGGGGGGGCTTCTGGAGCAAACTCCCTGGTTTCTCCAGAGCTGTCGTTCGGAGGGCTCCCTGGTCCAGGATCCTAGTCGAGATCTGAGGAACTCTGCACAGCTCAATGCTACATTCCCAAGGCCCATGTTACCCTATCAAACACTCACCAACTCAAACCAACAAAAAAGGCTTCAAGACCTAAACCTGGCCCCATGGAAGCTGCAGGCCAGCCTGTACAGAGGACACACCAAGAATCACCCATGGGAGAAGACTCTCCCAATCTTCCTTTAGCCTTTATTTAGAGGACACCACACAGGTCCCAGTGATTGCCTAATCTGTATGGTGCTACCAGAATAAGATGGGGGAAGAGACAAGGAGAGAACCTCTCGCACTTGAAACAGCGTACCTGGGCCCAACCGGGACCTCATTCACTGACTGAGAGAGAGAGGGCCCTCAGCAAGAAATCGGCCAATGCTTTTGGCTGTATCGTGCAAAAAGACAGGTTTTTTACATCGTGCAAAACAGGAAACTGAGTTATGAACACAGGCCACCTCAACCCAACCAACCCCCTTTCCAGAGAAGTGGGCACATTGTCCCTTTTGACAAACAGAAGGAAATCTAAGAACCATGAGCTAGCCCACCGCCCCAGGGCTCCTCAGGGAGCCAGCAGCTCCCACGAACCAACAGGCAGCACTGGGGCAGCCAGAGGGCAGGCCACTCAGCGGGGGCCACTCGGGTGGCTGCTATACAGACACTTTTGGTAAAAGACGCAACACGCGAGAAAAAGCCTACACATATGGCTGTCCGTGAAGAGGCTGGGGACAACGAACACCTCTCCTCTGTCGACACAGTGGAAGCAGGAGCAACAGCTAGCACTGGTTCCGACCGGCAGGAATTGTTTAACAAAGACAGCAAAAACTCACAACTACCACGTACCCTCATTTGCAGCTGAGCCATACCCACTGCCCATGGGCATCCAGTCTACCTCCACTGCAGAGAACACGGCTCTGGCAGCAGGTTTGGCCAATGAAGGTTTTATTCGGTCACCGGCTATATACAGCTCTACCCAGGACAGCCGTCCTTTGCTTAGGCACCTGAATGGCAGGGATCTGCCTGCACCAGAGCTGAGAGTTCTGTGCTCAACTAAGAGAGGGGCCAAGAAGCCCACCGTCCCTTCTGACTCCTCCTCGCCAGCCAGCAGTCAGTCCAGAAACAGCTTCCGGGAGCCCATGCGGGAGCGGTTGGAACGACGGATGTCAAACTTGGAGTCCCGGCACTTTTGGCAGACAAACACTTCCGGAACATTGGATTTCCGGATTTTTGCACAGGACAGATGGATCCAGGTGTGGCACTCATTACACTCTATCATGGGGCGGCCTGCAAATGGCTTCATGCAGAAGCAGGTGACGAGGTCCCAGGAATCATCATCTGGAAGGAAGGACAAGTATGACAGGAGGGAAGAAAACTTTCCAGGAAGCAGCTCCTCCAAGGAGCGCATTTTGAGGAAACCTGGCACTCAACAGACAAAATTGCTTTCAACTTGCACTTCATGCTGATCCTTCTCGCTCCAAAAATGCAGTAAATGCACAAAAAAGGACACCAAAATGCGTGCTAACCAGGTACTACCCAGGTAGTGTTAATGTATGAGCTATCCGGTTTCTGTCAGCTGAGGTTTGTCTAGGAACACCAGCGGTGATCAGCCCAGCCCTTTCCTAAACATCTTGTACCCAGCTTCCTGCACTTTCTTCCTGGGGGGGGGTGTGTGCTGCACACTGCTGGCCCACTCCACAGAAGGAACAGGAAAGGACCCTCTCTTCTCATGCCTACCCCCAGCTTCTCCATCCCCAGGGGACACTCACCAGAGTCCACCATGATGTCCTCGTCGTTGCCAGTGCTGTCCTCATCCCGGAACACCACCTGCTTGCCCTGCCGGACGATAGTCCGTTTGCCTTCAGTTTTTATTTCTTTGACCTGATCAGGTGACACAGTGGCACAAGACCCACTAGAGGGAGTGTCGGAGTCCCAGCCCGAGCAGGGGTCGCCGCGGGCCTGGGGGATGTCCTGCAGGGTGGGACTGGCGGGGGTCTCTGCGTACGGGTCGGCGGCCTCCAGCTTCAGCAAGCCGCCCCTGTAGCCCTCCTTCGCTGGCGCGTCGCTGTCCCGGCGCTTCCTCTTCTTCTTCTTCTTCAGCTTGTCTGTCTTCTTTCGGTCCAGCAGGAAGTTGCTGGGCTTGGCTCGCTGCAAGAGGGTGGGCTGCAGGTGGCTAAAGCAACGGTCGGAGACCGGCAAAGGCACGGAGGACGCCATGTCGGTGAAGCCCGCGTCCCAGCCATCACTGTCGATGGTACCGGCGGTGCTGTTGGCAGGGCTGGGGCTGCTCCGCAGAGGGAGTTCCTGAAAGGACAGAGGCAGAGAGGGCGGGTTCTGGTTACTGGGGTCAGGCCCTGGTGATGACAGCCAGCCCCTAGCAGAGTGACCCCAGCCCACAGCGGCCAGATAGCCGTCTGGAGATGTATCTGCCCAACCTTGAGCCTCTTGTCTCTCATGGGCCTCACACGTGAGGACCAGCATCACAGGAGGTTTGATGTGACCCCAGAAGGGGAGAACCCACCTCCCCCGCTGAAGCCTCAGCCCCATCCCAGGGCTGGGAAACGAGTCGATGTCCAGTCGGCACCCGTGGAGGGAAATGCTGCCAAGGCCCTCCCGGATGCTCTTCTCTTTCCCTGCCTCAAAATCACTCCTTCCACTTGCCCTCCCAAGAGAGACCTTTTTTAATTAAGTGAATTTAAATGAGTTTTGAGGATTTCCTGATGTGCTTCTCTAAAAACTGGAGACATCTGGCCAGGTTTGGTGGCTCGGCCTGTAATCCCAGCACTTTGAGAGGCTGAGGCAAGGGGATTGCCTGAGCCCGCAGGTTCAAGACCAGCCCCGGAAACTTGGTGGCACCTTGTCTCTACAATAAATCAAAAATTAGCTGGGTGTGGTAGCATGCGCCTGTAGTTCTGGCTACTTGGAAGGCTGAGATGAAAGGATTGCTGGAGCCGTGGCCATTGAGTGTGCTTGCACTCCAGCCTGGGCAACGAAGTAAGACTCCAACTCAAAAAAATAACCATAATAAAAAACCGGAGACTTCTCAAAATATTGCAAAATCAAAGTAAGTAATTATTGCCCCAAAGCAGTATGCTAAATGCTAGGGTTGCTTCAGATCACTCAGGCGTCTTATCTGCAAACAGCAGCAACACTCTGCTTGGTATGAAGCAGGCACAAGCCACCTATGCAGCACGTGGACACATAAGCCCCCGTCAGCTTTCTGCCTCCTAGAAAGACAGGATTTTGGGATTTTGACCCTAATACAACGGGACCAAGGCCCCTGAAGTTTGAGTACCACAATAGCTGTTTCACAATCCTACCCCTTTTCAGCAAGGTAAAAAAAATCTCTTCATCTACACAGGATTTTAGCCATGAGTCCCTGAAGACTGATAACATGTTGTACAAGTGACCGGAAGGCGGCGGGACAGGCAGGGTGTATGCCTGGAGTCCACCATCTGGTTGAACCCCAAACTCCACCATAAATTAGTCGGTGGTTCCCTTTGTGTGCCTCGGTGTCCTTGTCTTTAAATTGCACAACGAGGCAGGAGGAGCACTTGAGTCCAGGGGCTGTGGTGAACCCCCATCAGGCCACTGTACTCCAGCCTGGGTGGGTAACAGAGTGAAACTTTGTCGCAAAAATAAATTAAATAAATTTTGAGAGCCAGGCTTGGTGGCTCAAGCCTGCAATCCCAGCACTTTGGGAAGCAGAGAAGAGAAAAGTGCCTGAGCCCAGGGGTTCGAGACCAGCCTGAGCAACTTGGCAATACCTCATCTCTACAATAAATCAAAAATTAGCAGGGCATGGTGGTGTGCACTATAGTTCCAGCTACTTGGAAGGCTGAGGTACAAGGATCGCCTGAGCCCAGCAGGTCGAAGCTGCGGTAGCTGTGAGCGTGCCATTGCACTCTTGCCTGGGCGACAGAGTGAGACTCTAACTCAAAATAAATAAATAAATTTTGAAAAAAATAAATTAGGGATAAAAAAAATAGTACCTGCCTCACAGCATTATAAGGGCCAAGCACAGTGTGTGGCCATAGTAAATTCAATAATGACTAGCCGTTATTAAGAGCAAGCAGATAGCAAACACGATATTTGTGACTAAGCTCTGAAAGTTCATTAATCCATTGCTAGACAAGCTTACATTTTCCACTGGAGTTTTGGAAATCGCTTCCCAGGCTGGGCTCAGTGGCTCAGCCTGTAATCCTAGCACTTTGGGAGGCCGAGGCAAGTGGATTGCCTGAGCCCACAGGTTCGAGACCAGTCTAGGCAAATTGGCAAGACCTCATCTCTACAATAAATCAAAAAAAAATTAGCTGGGTGTCAATAAATCAAAAAAAAATTAGCAGTAGGTCAATGCTTATAGTTCCGGCTACTTGAAAAGCTGAGGCAGAAGGACTGCCTGAGCCCAGTAGGCCAATGCTGGGTCGGCTGTGAGAGTGCCACTGAACTCCAGCCTGTCGATGGAGTGAGACTCCAACTCAAAAAGAAAAAGAAAAAAAGAAAGAAACCACTTCTCTAGCTAATTTAAGTTCCCAAGAAAGAGACTGCTGCCAGACTATGGCCTGAGGTCATCACCAGGGAACCCTTCCAGATCCCCCCCCTCAGGGCCCACCAGCCTGCAGGGAAGGCGCACATGTGGCTGCCTAGAAGGGTCTAAAAGGTCAGAAGATTACCTCCTTCGGATAAGGGATGTAGCCAGCATAGGCCAAGACGAAGGTACAGAATTTATTGAAGTCTTCCACGGTCCTGCGCCTCTTGTAACTGGGGGAATATTCCTGGGGACAGGAGAGAAAAGGGATCATGTTGGAAGGAGACGCTTCTGGACGGGCTCACAGAAACAAAGAGCAGCAAGCTGGGGCTCTCACTGTCAACCACTCAAAAAATACACTGTTCGATTTACACAATTTAGAAACAAGGTAAGTTAAGTTCAGGTCAAGAAATATCACTGTTTTCAGAAAGTTTGAAAGAAACGTGTTAAGACTTTATGCCAAGAACACTGGGAACCTGGCTGGGAGATAACAGCGTGGACAAAAACTTTTTTTTTTAGCTCTTGTGGCATTTTCTGACCTTATCTATGAGTCCCTGCAGGTCTACCAGGACCTCTGATAACTACTTTTTAGTTACAGATTTTCCATTTCGAATACAAACTCCTGCTATAGCTGTCACTGAAGTATGTAAAGTGATTTCAAAAATCGATGACTTCTTACCTCCCAGAACTATCAAGCCTGGCACCTGGAGCTGAACCCCACCTGACCCTGCGCAGCCAGGGCTGCCGGACACTCCTGCTCAGAGGGTCGCCTATCGGGAGCCAAACACCCAAACATTTCCTAACTTACAAAATAAACTAGAAGCCTTCCGGCTAGGCTCAACCGCACGTTTAACGCGGAATGCTAGAGGTTTCAGTCTGTGGGTCCTATCCCGTTCGATCTAGAAACACCCTTACTCAGACGGGATCTGCGGAGAGCCACACGGGGAGAGCCAGCCCTCTTGCTCCCGAGAAAACAACTGCGCTTTACTGCCTGTATTCGACTGGCACGTTTGCTGAGGATTTCTTTGAGCGCTTTATCACCCCCAACCCCACCCCCCGCTCAGGGGCTCGGTGAACCTTTCCACAGCTTGGGGCCCACCGCCGGCTCGGTGGAAAGCAGCAGGGCTGGGGGGGACACGAGTCCCGGGCCCGCCCACCCCCCGCGGGGCGGGAAGCGCCGCGAGGCCCGCAAGTTTTCTCCCGGCGTCCACTTTTTAAAGACTCTTCCCAACTGGGCTGGCAAACCACCCACTCCCCAAC